ATAACTAGTTCTAATAAATGAATAAAAGAAATCACGTCAAACTTTATTGCTCATTTTCTTTAATGCTATAATCTAATACATTCTTATGATTTTAAGAGCCACTTCGCGTAAAAATCAGAAATATCTTGGCAAGGCTCGAAAAATCAAATTTATTCATATTTTGTATATTGATAAGGTATAATTAGGTAACAATCGCTGTGTAATTGTTCTTTGAAAATATTTCATTTTTCGCAAGAAAATCGCTAAACAATGTCACATACTGGGCCTTTGCGTGACAAATGTTTGATGGCTAAAAATAGCACTCGAAATAGCCAAAGTTTTTTTTAACTTTGCATAAAAAGCCACAATTTTGGACTAAAAAGGTAAGAACTTTTACATTACAAACCTGTCAGAGCTGATGATGCACTTCGCAATCAGAATAATCATTTTTTTTCTCGATTTTTAATTGTTTTTTTGTGCTTCTTGCTTCTGAACTGCACCTAAATCTATTATTAGCTATCTTTAAGATATATCTTAAAATATTGAGATTCAAAAATGAGCAGTGTTTGAAAAAAACAGCGAAAAAAGAGTCAGCCTCGTTTTCATGCATAAGGCAATTTTTGCAAAAACTGGAATAATCAAAATCTCCTTATAGCTACTCTTTTGGAATTGCTATCACATGAATTTTTATACTCCATTAGTCAAACTTCCATGTGATATGAACAAGAATTTGTCCCTCTTAGTGATACTGCAGACACCCTCTGGCCCATGGACTAAAAGAACTGATAACTGACTTTGAGCAGCGCGATGTTGAACCTGTCCGAGTAGAGGAGTTAAGAGAACGTCTAGCACTAGTCATCAAGAGTGGCCTTAAATTGAAAGACATCGAATGCAACGTTACGTACGTACGCTGCTTGTTCCCCACAATCACGTTGCATCAGTCCAAGCCTTATGAAGTCTACAAGACAGATCTTAAACGATCACAAATGGCAACTTTCCTAGACATGAAGTTGACAGTAAGTGGATGAGGTTGCAGCATCGCCATGCCACTAAAGTTAAAGCCTTTTATGAGAAAGTCTCCGATTTCCCGTGACGAGTTTGGCAAAAGCTTCCTTCTAGACCAGTTGAAAAGATCCGGTTGTCATTCACGAGGGATTATTATTGAGATTAGACTTCTCACGCACACACTCAAACAACTGCTTTTTTCAAAGCCACCTAAAGTTTCAAGAGCCATTGACCAAATGCTTATTTTATGATTACTTTGTTAAAGATATTAAATACTATTCAATGACTTATTTTATACATAAGTAACCTTAAGCGAGATTAGCAGCAAATAGGGTTACTGTCAATCATATGTTTGTAAACCTCAGATCACGTTATGTATTGTGAATGACAAAGGAAAGAAGTCAAGAGTAAAGTTCTAAATAATTCCGACAGGTTTCAATAAACAGCGATGTTGTAATTCATAATAGAGTAACATCCCATACCTAGTGTTTTATTCTTTAGCAATGATTCTATAATACTGAAGTTTTCATATAACAATCAATACCTAGTGTTTTATACATTAGACGTGACTCTATAACTAAAGGTGTATTCATTGTAACTTTTCTGAGTTACATTATTTCCGCCATCAGGTTTTAAAAAACAACCGTTTGTTCAATTGTCAAATAAGGTCTGTGTACAGCTAAACAGTTAAACAACAAATTGGTTGTTAGGCAAAGTGCTGGTTTCACACTTGCACTGCCAGATTTTGTCATTTGTTAAGTGACCTCTAAAACAAAATCAAGAGTTTCAGGTGCCTTAAGTTTAAACGCTGAAACAATCAAACGCTGATTGCAAGTATCAGAAGTATAATAAACTCAAAAATGTTCGGAACAAATAATATTAAACGTTCATTACACTTTGTATAAATGTTACGGAACTTCCAGAATCACAAGGGATATTATAAAAAACTTACCATTGCTTGTCTTATTTCTTTTTCTTCTTTGGTCTTACCACTGTTTAAATTTCCCGAAGTTATAGTGATATAGTGTGTAGTGTATAGCAAGTTCATTTGAGATACTACCGTTTCGGTCTACGGGTATACGAGTAGGTACACAGTTTATACAAAAAACACCGATGACTTCTCAAATGTAATAATCTGTCTACCCGCTTTCCGATGTGAGAAGTAGTCCTACCCGTATTTACGCACTCGTACAAGTTGAGCGAAACGATGATATATTTAAGTTTTTTAAAACTTAAAAGTTGATTGAACTTACCTTTGATTAGCTTTCCTTCAATAACGATTGAATTTTCTATCAATTGGTTTAAATTTCTATTTTCTGTGAACGTTAACAAATATTCCGGTGGCTGCACAGGTATTTTCTCCGGAGGGATAGTTGTTGAGCTCATGATTTGAAATACTACATTCATGTAGTGTAAATGCACGTGTGTTTTTTTTCTGGAAACGTTTCAGCGTCAAATTTTCTGCTGGACATCAACACTTACTTGAAACAAGTGGTTTCTACGTACATTGTCAAACCGAGGAAAGGTGGTGTATACGACAGAGTAGCTCCAGGTTATCGTTTTCCTGGTGTTGTCGAATAAAAAAAAGTTATGAAGAAAACAAAATGAACTAAATGAACAGTATTGATTTCATTTTTTCCGCTTATTATGAATGTTAATTTTTTACATTTTTACACGTTTACATTTGACCTTCATTGTATTAGTAATATATAATATATCAGCAGTATAACCATGACGACCGCAGCAAGACCAACAAGGAAGAAGGCCCAAGTTGCTATTTTTCTGTAGACTGGTCTGTGAGTTGACGCTGTAGATACAATGAGCACATATTACATAACAGCTTTCAGTATAAAAAGACTCGTGAATTAAGTGATAGTGCATTATTATTTACATTATTATTGCGGCGATGCTGGCGTGCTCTTCTCACGCGATGATATATAGGTTCATCCCAGAAAGATATAAACAAAATCATAGCAGAATATATACTTTAAAGTCTTGACGAGTTGTAATGAGAAAAATAAATTTTATTTCAGTTATATTTTGATTTTTTTAGGCTGGGAACGTCTTCAATATTGACAATTGTTAATCTTATAGAAAAATTATATATTGATAAGAATTGATTCTCTTGAAATTATGTGTCAGTTATCAATTGCTGATAAAGTCCACCTCACCCAATTTTTTTTACAGTTGACTTAAACAGAAGCCAAACAAGAAAACGGCTTTTTTAAAAGCCACCACATCTATATCTATCATGACCAAATGCTTTGAATTATCGATCTAAATGGTGTTTGATACTATCAGTTAGCAATAATAACGCAAAATACAAGAGTACCATACTAAGCAATCTTTAATCTCAAGTACATTCAGTGCAAAATTACATATTGAAATTTACTCATCTATAGTACATATATACTGATTTTTACACATCACAAGTTTCTTGTGTTTGTGTCCCCTTAGATCTCTCTATAACGTCCAGCTCGTGTCTGGTCTTGACGAGTTTGGCTTTCTTTAGGATCTGTCAGACAAACAATGAAATTATTATTGTCAAATGAGTATGGAACGTTTATGTTAGCTATGTGACTGAAGATACTGGGAAAACACATCTTGATCAAGTTATTCAAATAATGGACTTTTACCTCGGCTACTGGATGCACGGGATACCAGAAAGACCCACGAATAAACCTTATTCGCGGCTGTAGATAATAATCAGTGCCGTTTGGTCTCTTCATGTTTTGGATAGCGTTTCTATAAGAACATTTGAGAAAATGTTAATGTTTAGAAAGTAAAATTGAAGCCAAATAATAATTTCAACAGAAAAACTATATAGTGGTAACAACTGCTTCGCTAAAATAATATACCTTAAATTCTTGTTCGAGAGATCTTCGTGACAGTTGTATGAACCAGTTGTCTGCACTAAGCTAGGGTCATTCTGGAGGACCTTTTATAGAGACCAGACATGCCAGGAAAAAATCTAGACTTCCGGTAAATGACCAGGAAGAGGTCATATCTGCAGTTACTAGGTAACTGGTGTGATTTAACGGAAATACTTTAAAACATTCTCTTAGAATCGACTTAAGTTTACTAGTTTTGAACATTCGAAAGCACAAGAAACACGGAATTTGTTCTGCCATTATATAGTGATACACTCTGGAGTGAATTACGTGATAAATGCTGTGTCGGTATGGCCGATGACTTTTATGACCCTCATTTAACGAAGTTATTGAAATACATCCGCTAGGTTGTGATATACCAGTCCAGACAGGTTCTATATTGCAACAAAATGCTTTGTTTAAATTTCCTGGCCGAGGGGTGCCGTGTCTCCGTAACATAACATCAATTCATAATAACAACATTCAATGCCTAGTGTTTTATACTTTAGCCGTTACTCTAAAACACTAAACTTTATAAAGTCATAATAAACAATCATCGAATTACGAACAATTTGAAAGTACTTTTGCCTAACAACCAGTAAAGTTTTTTTAATTCTTTAGCAGTAAACAGACTTTATAAAGTTATAATCAACAATCTTCGAATTACGAATAATTTAGAAAGTACTTATGCCTAACAACCAGTAACGTTTTTTTAATTGTTTAGCAGTAAACAGACTTTTTAAAGTAGGTACAAGGCTGACACCATTTAAATCGACATTTCAATCTTTTACTTGATTCAGTAAACAATCGGTTTTATTGCATGTAGAAGTCTTAATGTTATTTTATTGAAAAAAATACAAAGTTCACAATCATCACATACACATTCACAATATATTATTCAAAATTTTGATCTTCTTCTGCTTCTTGTCGATTATAGCCTCACTTCTGGCGAATGAGTTTATTCTTTTTTGCAAACATAGACCTGTTTTCTCTTTGAAGATCTATAATAGTAATGATACAATAATTAGGATGATACCAGAATGAAAGTATGAAAAGATACTTCATGCACATCAACACTGCATGCATATCTAAGTATACATAATTGACAAATAACATGAAAAATTAAACATAAAGGCCCGGGTCGCACTGAGGCAATTTTAGTCAAATTTTATTTACTTATCCAATGAAATCTGTCAACACATGACAGTTCCTAGTGCGACCCCAACATTTACTTTCCGCTAAAACTTTCTCCAGTGGCTAAAACATCAAAGGAGCCGTCTACCAGCCTAAAAGCTGGACTTTCTTGCGAAAGTTCRGTCGAAACAAAAKAATTGCAACAGAAGTTGTCAACGCTTGTCACCGTGAAGTAAAACAGATTGCAGTAGTAATAAAAGTTYGCGGGAATCAAGTGGTATTTGCCCTTTAGTCGCCACRCTGTAACATGGACGATCATGGATTTCAGTACTCACAGTTTTCTCCATTCTACAACACCTATCATCCGTACCAAGTGCAACAACAGCCAYCTACTAGTAACTTTCACTACTCAATGCCTCTTGGTGCCAACAGTGCTAATTTTTATCCTAACGTGGCTTCTCCAGCACCATCTACTYCAAGTCAACAATCAGAGGAAGCTGCATCCGAGAGTAATTCGCCACAGAACGATTCAAGCGAAAAGCGTACTTATGAGAAGTGGACAGACGACGAACAAAAACTCCTAGTTAATTTGTGGGCCGAGAATTTCGAACGCATCGAAAGTAAAGAGTCTCGAAAAGTTTGGGACGAGATAGCTGATAAGGTCAACAAGGCATTTCAAGGGAAGCGGCCAAAGCGAACCACTAAAAAGTTTAAGGAGAAAATCAAGTATTTACTCGATCGATACAAAAAGGCCAARGATTGGAACAAAAAACAAAGTGGAGGACATAAAAGGAAATCTATCTTCTACGATGAGATAGACAGAGTCATGGGGTGCCGCGAAATAGTCGAATTGGAACACGTGGCAGAAGCCGGCACAAGCGCATCGTCCACGAATACAAGTACAGGCGAATCAAGCGTAGAAACTAACGACGAGGAAGCCGAAGCTGCGTCGAACAAACAAGAAAAGCGAACTGAGAGAAAGAAAAAGAGAAAGAGGGTGGTCGGAGAAGAGGCAGAAGAGGAGGAACGAAAGCTTTTTAAAACAGCGGTGGAAGGCCTTCAAGCGCAAAGGGAAGATATGAACAATTTCATTAATAATTTTAATGATATCCAAACACAGCAACTAAAGACAATGAATACACTAGTTGGCTCACTCGCTAAGTTTTTAGAAAAGCAGTGATCATTGCATATATAAATAATTGTCTTTTTATTGTTAATGTTCAGCTTTCGAGACTCAGTTTTCTCGACTGCTCATGAATGATTATTGACTCACAATTGATAATGGAATATGATAGATTATATTTAGGTATACATATAAATTGATATATTGATCTGTATGAATCATTTTACAATTAAATTCATTTTAAAACAACAGTTGTAGTTCTAAGGACCCTAAGCAACATAATCCTTGAGTTTTTCTCTAATGTCGTCCCCATCTCGAAGTACATTTGCTGATGRATTTGGGGGAATCGGGTCATGAGGATCAAAATCATCGTCCCAATTATCTCCTAATCGAATGCAAAGATTATGAAGGACAGCGCAAGCAATTGAACATTTAATTGCAAATTCAATTCCACTGTCAAAGCGCTTTTGAAGAATACGCCAGCGGCCTTTCAATTGACCAAACGCACACTCAACTTTCACTCTAGCAGCAGACAACTCTCGATTGAAGTTTATTTCGTCTTGATCTCTCGTACCTTCGGGATATGGTTTGATTAGCCAGGGGCAGTTTGGGTAGGCACTATCCCCAACAAGGTAAGGTCCAATCAAGTCTCCATTGATATCAGCAGTAGGTTCAGTCAAGATATGCCTTGCTTCAGCTCTATCAAAAATTGAACTGCGTCGTAAAACCCGACCGTCGTGCATCGCTCCGGGGTATCCGCATGAAAAATCCATAAAAATCATTCTGCCATCAACAACTGCTTGAATAACAAAGTCGTACTGTTGATATCTACTGAAATAGTCGGCTTWACTTTGTAATGGACCTTTTATTCTGACATGACTACCGTCAATGGCACCCGCGATGTTAGGAAGGTCTGAGAGTTMAGTAAATGTATCGATAGATGCTGCTGTTTCTGCGKCAGTTTCTGGGAATTTGATGACATCGTTTCGCAGCTCGTACAGTCCTTCTACCACATCTTGGACGGCCTCGATAACAGTACTTTTTCCTACATTAAAAACTGGTCCAATGCTAACGTATGAATTCCCGTGCCCGAGCCGATATAGACCTAAAGCTAGAATTTTTTCAGGAGCCATTGCGTCCCTCAATCGAGTATTTTGTCGTACTAATCGAGGACCAAGCATGTTAAGCACAGCATCGAABGTGTCTTTCTTTAGTCGTAACTGCCTCCTAAAGTAACCCTCTGGTATATTTCGATTATTATAATGTAGTTYAAACCACGAATGATCTGGACGAGGCACTCTCCATGCATAAGGGCAATGGCGACGGCGTAATCTCCGACGAAGACGTCTTCTTCTTYGCATATATTGCGATAAAACCAAAGCAAATCCATCGTTTGCCCATCTCGCGTATAGAATTGCGAAATAGATTGCTTGTTGAAGTTGTTGTTGAAAATACAATACGTAGAAAAGGCTAATAGTTATCGCTAGTAGTTCGACTGGTCRCATGRTTGATATTTGTTTACAAGAAATKGCGCGAAACTAGAGGTCACGTCTTTGCATCTGGCTTGAATAACCTGTCACATTTGCTTATCTTTGAAGATTAAGTGCGACCGTAAGAACTAGAGGTTAAAAATTATCATTTCCTGTATAAAGATAAAATTTTGGATAAAATTTGCCGATATATTTTTTTAGATTTGGCTTAGTGCGACCCGGGCCTAAGTTGGATTTTACCTGAACAGTGTACTTAGAGTTCTTTCCACCTTTCTGTGAAGCTCTGTGGAAGGCCTGGTTTTGTTGGTTGTTCTTTTTTTCAACTGGTTGGCAGCTGAACTGGTGGATAGACTTAAATTTTTCCAAAAATTGGGGTACATGGTATGTCATTGCTGAAAATTAAATCAAAATTAAATGTCAATAAATATTTTTCCAGTCGAAACTCCAGCTAAAAAGAATCATTGAAACATTGAATTATTTGAAACCATGTTTATGCTAATAATCATATTATGACATTACAACAAGACCCCAACAAAATTTTTAAATAATCACTATTGACACATACCRTGAATGTATGGAGTGATATCTTCTTGGTTCCCATTAACTATCAGGAAAGTCTTGCCCCATGCCCTCGCCCTTTCCTTAAACTCAGAAGGGGTTAGGTATTCATCATCCCCTGGATCTGCAGAAACCGCACCCATCAGAGTTTGAAATCCCTAGAAGAAATAATAAATAAATTAAAATAGCTATAGCCAAATTTTAAATCTATACTGCATATGAAATTAAGGTATAGTCATATTCAGTAATGACACTTACATTCCATATTTGGTTTACAAGGCTGCCATTGACTGATGTTCCAGTCAATACTTCCAAGACTTCCAAGACTTCCTTGCAATAAGGATCCTGGAAAACAAAACATTAGCAGAAAGGTTAAAAACAAAGCATGTATCATTTTTATAATGCCCACTCAAAATTTTGGTGGTATCAAAATATAGTTTCATAATGCTGGACAGGATTACTAACTTTAAAAACCTTCACATAGATAAACAAAATTGACAAGTACAGTTTACAACATGAGAGGCCGTGTTGGACTGACATGAATGTTGTAAACGACTTATGAAATCCCCACACTGATTAACATGAATTACAGGGAGATAAATGATGAAAAATTATAATTAAGGTAAGTGCTTAGTATAGTCACTATTAAGTATAGTCAATATTAAGTATGCCCAATTTACTGCAACACAGAACATTTTGAATAATTATTCATCCCACATGGAAAGCAAGCAAAGCAGTCTTTGACTGCTTGAAAACCTAGGGAAGGTCTATCATAAAACTGAGAACTTTGCTAGTGTTGGGTTGTCTCAATGGTGACGACTGTGTTGTAAATCTTATACAACACTAGTGTTGTATTAGATTTACAATGTCAATCACCTGATTAAATTGACAGCCCTTATTGGAGAAATAGCTCATGCATTATTAATAAATTTTATAATATATGTTATTAATCTGTCCAGAGTCTTAACATTTAACTATACATATTCTATAATTAAAAATACCTCTATATTTGCTCTGGAGTCCCAAATACTTAGCAAAGTGCCATCATAATTGGGAAGTCGTATAGAATCAGGATGGAATTCGCTCAAGCTATTCACATTTATAACCATTCCTTTAGCTCCCAGTTGTCCATTTAGGAGCTCCACTGATGATGATGCATCTTGACCATCATTATCCATACAAGTTGATAGGCTTTTTAGGTGTTTCAGGTACACTTGAAATTCATGTGTTTCTTCAAATGCTTTTCCCTATAAATCAACGTTCATGATTCAAGCAAGCAATTAAACCAAAAATTCCATTGAGAGATAAAAAGTATTTTTACAACATTKCTTTACTCCACACAACAATTCAGTTGATAATAAAACACCAATACAATGGGTTTATAGAGTGTACTTTACAGCTATGAATATGAAATAGTTCTGAAACATTCTWTGMTATTTTGTGTGCTTCACATAAACYTTATRCACTTACAGCATATCGTAACAATCTGCTAACTGAAACTGATTCTTTGAACTTTTTCTTAGCGTCTTCCCAGCTGGTGAGTTTAAA